CATCTGAACTGGGCACCCTTCTGGGTCAATCTGGTCATCGGGGCTGCAATAGATGAAAACCCCTCCACGAACCGTTGATAGTAGCCTGCCAACCCCAAGAAACTCCGAATCTCAGTAGCTGATGCTGGTCTAGGCCAGTTCTTGACTGCCTCAATCTTCTTTGGGTCCACCTGAATACCCTCTGCTGATATGACATGACCCAGAAATACAACCGAACTCAACCAGAATTCACACTTCGAGAACTTAGCATATAACCGACTATCCCTCAGAGTCTGAAGAACCACTCTAAGGTGTTGCTCGTGCTCCTCCTGGCTGCGGGAATATATCAATATATCATCAATGAAGACTATCACGAACGAGTCCAAATAAGGCCTGAACACTCGGTTCATCAAGTCCATGAAAGCTGCTGGGGTATTTGTCAACCCGAATGACATAACCAAGAACTCATAATGCCCGTACCGAGTGCGGAAAGCTGTCTTAGGGACATCGGATGCCCTAATCCTCAACTGATGGTAGCCAGATCTCAAGTCAATCTTTGAAAATACCTTGGCACCCTGAAGCTGATCGAACAAATCATCAATCCTCGGCAGCGGATACTTATTCTTGATTGTAACCTTGTTCAATTGCCGGTAATCAATACACATTCGCATCGACCCATCCTTCTTTTTAACAAACAACACCGGTGCACCCCAAGGCGAAACACTGGGTCTAATGAAACCCTTCTCAAGCAAGTATTGCAACTGCTACTTTAACTCTTCCAATTCAGGCGGGGCCATATGATATGGCGGGATAGAAATGGGCTGAGTGCCCGGAACCAGATCAATGCAGAAGTCAATATCCCTGTCGGGTGGCATACCCGGCAGGTCTGAAGGGAAAATATTAGGAAACTCACGAACAATGGGCACAGAATCACTAGGCATGACCAGATATGGCGCAAAATAAAACCGAAGCTTCTCTACCACAAACCAGAACAATACCTGCACCTCCACCTCTAATACCTTTACCTCCACCTCTAGCATCTCTACCTCCACCTCTAATACTTCTACCTCCACCTCTAATACCTATACCTCCACCTCTAGCTAACTGAGCGGGCTGGACCTCCTCACTCTCTCTCACGGTGGGAAGTATGATAAGAGCATGACGATCCATGTCGATGAATCTGATCTCGTACTGAGTAACAGTCATAGAACCCTACTGGGGACGCTCAAACTGCCTCCGATAGACATCTCTCTGAGTGATGGGGAGAAACTTCTCCAGAAATAGCTGCGTGAACTGTTCTCAAGTCAAAGCTGGTGACCTAACTGGTATAGCCAATCAATAATCTCTCCAACAGGTCTTGGCGGATCCAGACAAGCGAAAGGTAGCAAAATCGACCCTATTGGTCTCCACGATCCCCATGTTCCTGAGAACCTCATGATAGCTGTCTAGATAATCCTGGGGATCCTCAGTAGATGCACCGCTGAATGTAGTAGTGAAGAGCTTGGTGAAACTTATCCAACCTCCACAAAGCCTCCGAAGACGTAGCTGATCTATCACTGGTCTGTGCTGCTGCTCAGCTGAAGAAGCGGTATATGACCTCGCCATTCGCGAAGAGACAAGAGTAGAGGTTTCAATTTAGCATTTGACAAATAAAACCGCACGACAGGAAAGAACAAGTGTGAAGTTTTCCTAACTCCGTAGCCTCTGGGGATAAATACAGACGTCTCCATACCGATCCCTCAGACTCTACTGAGCTTGTCCGTGAATTGTGAGACCTGTGTAACCTAGAGCTCTGATACCAACTTGTCACGACCCGGATTTCCCTACCCTCAGGGGTCGTGATGGCACCTACTCGTAGAAGCTAGGCAAGCCACAAATCATAAACTCCTACCTATTCATTTTAAATCCTTATATCAACATAACAACAAGCGTTAAATATTTAAATGACAACGGAATATGAAATTAAAGCGGAAGACTTAAATTAAATAAGTTGAACAATAATGCGGAATTCAACATGTGCCTCTACCCAAGAACTGGTGTCACATCATCCACGGACTACTAAAAGTACTAAATACAATCATTTGAAAGAAATATAACACTGTTTGTCTCGAAAACATGAGATAACTGAATAAAATATAAGATAGAGGAGACGCCGGGCCTGCGGACGCGTGCAAGGCTACCTCGGAGTCTCGGTGGGCTGAAGGCTGGCTCCCGAGCTACTGCTGCTGTCCGGGACCTGGATCTGTGCAAAAGAGCACAGAGTGTAGTATCAGCACAACCGACCCCATGTGCTGGTAAGTGCCTAGCCTAACCTCGGCGAAGTAGTGACGAGGCTAGACAGGACTAGCACATAAACTTGTACAGTTATATATATATATATATATATATATATAGATTATATATATATATATATATACAACGGGAAAATAACAAGAACAAACATTTTAAATGGAGGGGAACATGCTGCGGGGATAGCAAATAATACAGAATTTCAAGAAAATAATGAAGAACATCAATAATTTAACTCTAACACGGATAAGGGAAATAAAAGCAGATTTCACTGTCAGTATATATCTCGTTGCAGGTGTGCAACCCGATCCCATAAATAAATCTCGTGGTAGGCGTACCACCCGCTCCTAATTCATTAAATCTCGTGGTAGGCGTACCACCCGCTCCCATTTCATTAATCTCGTGGTAGGCATACCACTCGCTCCCATTTCATTAAATCTCGTGGTAGGCGTACCACCCGCTCGCTCTTTTTTTAAAACTCGTGGTAGGCGTACCACCCGCTCCCATTTCATTAAATCTCGTGGTAGGCGTACCACCTGCTCCCATTTCATTAAATTTCGTGGTAGGCGTACCACCCGCTCCCAATTTATTAAGTCAACAGTTCTTCCAGATGAAATTTACTCCAACAAACGCAACAATTAATACGAATTTATAAGACAACAAGTACACAATAATTATGACTCACTGAGGAAAACAAGTAATGACAAGTAGCAATTAATTATGGACTTTAAGGAGCAAATAGGCAATTTAATATTTAGTATGCTAAATGTCAAGTAGCAATTAAGTCACATAAACATGTAGCAATTATAGCATAAATTCAAGGCATAATATTGCGCAAGGATACCTCGAGCCAATAATAACATGTAACACAATAAAGGAAAATGCCGACACAAAGAATCACAGTAATAGTGGAATAAGACAATTAATGCACTTGAACCGATAACAACAAGAAAATCAGTAAATAAAAGTAAAGGACAACATAACTCAATTATCAGCAAGAATCAGGAAAATCAAAGACAAGTGCACGGCATCACCCTTCGTGCTTTTACACTCGTCCTCACCAAGCAATAATATAATGAAAACGTACACGGCATCACCCTTCGTTCTTTTACTCTCTTTCCTCACTAAAGCAATTAGAATAATAAAATGTGTACGGCATCACCCTTCGTGCTTTTACTCTCTTTCCTCACCAAAGCAATTAGAGTAATAAAATGTGCACGGCATCACCCTCCGTGCTTTTACTCTCTTTCCTCACATATAATCAATAGAATTGGCACGGAATGGTAGATCGTGCGGCACGGCATCACCCTTCGTGCTTTACACTCTTTCCTCACAATAGCAAACAATGCACTGCATCACCCTTCGTGCTTTAACAATCTTCCTCGCCCAAACAATAATCACAAACAAGGGCAAGGGAAATAAACAACAACATATAGGAATCCCGGCAAGGGAACAACGATTTAACAATTAAATCCCGGCAAATGAGCAACAAGTAAATAATTGAAAGAAATGAGTAAAAACTAACTTACAATTGATTTGGAAGAAGATTGTTTTTGGAAAAATCGCCCAAAGGAGTTGTGTTTTGAAAATGGTGTGAAAAATGACTTAAAATCAGTTAAGTATAGAATATTGCAGGTCTCTGGTATGGGAAATGCGAACAGGGGTTCGCAATTGCGAACCCCGACCTTCAGATGTTGGAATTGCGAAGTGAAGTTCGCATTTGCGAACACTGAACAAAATGAGGGGCTTCGCATTTGCGACCAAAAATGTTGCATTTGCGACAGACCCTGCTCCGTATTTGCAAACCGTTTGGTCGCATTTGCGATCAGCTGCACAGGTTCCCTTTCTCGCATTTGCGATGCCAAGCTCGCATTTGCGAGACCTACTTCGCAAATGCGAAAACTGCAGAACAGGAATACCAGATTTTTTTCAAAGTTCAAAAATGCACCCGTGGCCTATCCAAAACTCACCCGAGCCCTCGGGGCTCCAAACCAAATATACACACAACCTCAAAAACATCCTACGGACTCATTCGTGCGATCAAATCGCCAAACTAACATCAAAAATATCGAATTAAACCTCAAAATCCAAGAACTCTTTCAAACTTCATAAAACATCAAATTTCCCAATTTAGGTCCGAATCACGTCAAACGACGTCCGTTTTCAACCAAATTTCACAGGAAGGACTTAAGACATATATAACCTGTACTGGGTGTTGGAACCAAAATACGGGCTCAATACCATCGCTTTCTAATCAGATTTCATTTCCAATTTTCTTAAACAATATTAGAAAACAATTTTACTAAAAAAAATCATTTCTCGGGCTTGGGACCTCGGAATTCGATTTCGGACATACGCCCACGTCCCATATTTTCCTACGGACCCTCCGGGACCGTCAAATCACGAGTCCGGGTCCGTTTACCCAAAATGTTGACCCAGGTCAAATTTATTTATTTTAACATCAAAACTTAGCATTTTTCACAGAATTTCATATTTATGCTTTCCGATTACGCGCCCGGACTGCGCACGCAAATTGAGGCAACTCTAAATGAGGTTTTCAAGGCCTCGGAGACATAGAATTCAATTAAAAACAGGTGATGACCCCTTTGGGTCGTCACATAATCACATGGTAGCGAATTCTAGTTTGTTGAGTAAATTGGACAAAGTGTCTAGTCTAAAAGGTTGAAAGATGCATCTACCAACTGGTAATGTGGTATCAATATCAAACATAGGGACATCTAGTATATTCAGAGATCAGGATTTACAAAATGTGCTGCACATTCCTGACTTCAAGTTTAGCCTTTTGTCTATGTCAAAGTTGACAAAGGAACTGAAGTGTTGTGTGGCATTTTTTCCTATTTTTGCCTCTTCAGTGGGCAGGTTAGGGGGATTGGTAGAGAGACTGTGGGTTGTACTATCTGAAGCCAACTCCTACACAAGCTCAACCTGCACAATTACAATTACAAAAGTCTAACAACATAGAAGGTTGTTATTCTTTGTCTACTAATGTGCCACTTTGTGTATGGTATAATAGATTAGGTCATGCTCCCTTAGATATTCTCAGAAAAATAGAGTCCTTGAAACAGTTTAAACTAGATGAAAATCATCATTGCACTGTTTGTCCACTTGGAAAACAGTCAAAACTCTCATTTCCTATCAGCACAACTAGTTCAAATAAACCTTTCCAGTTAGTACATGGTGATGTATTGGATCCTTATAACCTACACATGATGGCAAGAGATACTTTCTAACGTTGGTGGATGATTTCTCCAGGTACACTTGGATATTCTTGGTGAATAATAAAACTGAAATATTTGTTGTTGTGAAGCAGTTTCTAGCTTTAGTAAAGATTATGTTCAATACTAATGTTCAGATATTGAGAACAGACAATGGCTGTGAATTTTTTAACTCTCTGTTTGATGAGTTGATAAAGGAAAATGGTATTGTACACCAGAGCTCCTGTGTCTATATACCTCAGCAGAATGGTGTAGTAGAGAGAAAGCATAGATCAATTTTAAATGTAGCCAGGTCCTTAAGGTTTCAAGGAGATAAGCCTTTGAAGTTTTGGAGAGAATGTGTTGCTACAGATGTCTATCTACTCAATAGGCTGCGCTCAGCTATCTTACAGCATAAATCCTTTTTTGAAATGTTGCATTCACATCCTCCTAACCTTGGCCATTTAAGAACCTTCGGTTGTCTAGCCTATGCTTCAAATCCTAATATTACTGATAAAATGTCACCCAGAGCTACTTCTGTTGCTTTAGTGGGATACTCTTCCACTCAAAAGGGTTACAAACTCTATGACCTACATGCTAAATCATTCTTTGTCAGTAGAAATGTAGTCTTCAGAGAAGACTTGTTTCCTTTCAAACACTTCACACCTTCTACTCTACCAATGTGTCCAGTGCTAGAGCTTGCACTTGATACACCAAGAACCCTGCCAAATACAACACCTAGTAACATAACAATTTCTCCACCCACTTCAGAAGACTCAGTCACAGAGAGTCCTTCATCTTCAATCCCTTCCACAGTTGTGGATCACTTTACATGCCCAGCTCCACCTAATAACACAATAACTGAATGCACCTATCATCAGTTCACTACCTATCATAGAGAAACAACAGCCTGAAACACTTAGAAATATTTTAGAACAGTAAAACAACCTTTGCGGATGCAGGACTTTGTCACTACCAAAAAATCCAACTGTGCCTATCCTCTATCATCCTATGTCTCTTATGAACATCTGAATCCATCCTATAAAGCTGCCTTAAACTCCTATTCATCTATTGTGGAGCCTTCCAGCTAAAAAGAAGTAGCCACAGATCCAATGTTGGTTGAAGCCATGAAATTGGAGATTGCAGCACTAGAAGAAAACAACATGTGGAGCATTGTGGACCTTCCTAAGGGAAAGACTCCCATTGGGTGCAAATGGGTGTTCAAAGTTAAATATAAATCATCAGGAAAAGTGGAGAGGTATAAGGTACGATTGGTGGCTAAGGTTTATAACCAACACGCAGGATTGGACTACAAAGAAACCTTTTCACCAGTAGCTAAAATGGTTACTTTTAGGTCAGTGGTGGTTGTGGCATCTTCAAGACATTGGTTCATCTATCAAATGGATATTCACAATGCTTTATTGCAAGGAGATCTGTTAGAAGAGGTCTACATGACTATTCCAGATGGGTTTGCTAGACAGCGGGGAGACCAAACAAATCTGCAAACTACAAAAATCACTGTATTGTTTGAAACAAGCACCAAGGTAGTGGAATCTCAAATTGACTGAAGCCCTGCAGCATCTTGGCTTTGTTCAAAGCCACTTTGACTACTCATCTCACACAAAAGCTAGGAGATGAAATAGTTGTGATCCTAATATATGTGGATGACTTGATCATTACAGGCATTAGTAATGATCTGTTGGCCAAAACCAGGAAAGATCTTCAAAAAAAGTTCAAGATGAAAGACTGGAGGAACTAAAATTCTTCTTAGGAATTGAATTTGCCAGGTCAAATAGAGGAATACATATGTGTCAAAGTAAATATTCTTAGGAGTTGATCTCTGAACTTGGTCTAGGGGGAGCAAAAATAGCTGGTACTCCCTTGGAGTGCAATCAAAAACTTACTTCAATTGAGTATGATAGAATATTCAACAGAGGTGCATGTCGTGAAGATCCTATGCTAAATGATGCTGGAGAATATCAAAGGCTTGTAGGAAGACTTTTATATTTGACCATGACTAGGCCAGATATCTCATATCTCATTTAGAGTACAAGTGCTATGTCAGTATATGCATGCCCCAAGACAATCACACATGGAAGTTGCTCTAAGGATCGTTAGATACCTGAAAGCATCACCAGGTCTGGGACTCCTAATGACATCAACAAAGACTAAACATCTATAGGCATTATGTGACTCTGATTGGGGCTCTTGTCTGCAGACCAGAAGATCTGTCACAAGTTATCTTGTAAAATTTAGGAAGGCATTGGTGTCATGGAAATCAAAGAAACAAGAAACTGTGGCCAGGAGTTCAGCTGAAGCTGAATTCAGAAGCATGGCATCCTGTGTAGCTGAAGTCACATGGCTAATAGATTTGTTCAGGGAACTTGGAATTGAATTGCATCAACATGTTGATCTGTTATGTGATAGCAAAGCTGCTATCCAAATCGCAACAAATCTTATATTTCATGAACGAACCAAATACATATATATCGATTGTCACTTTGTGAGAGAAAAACTTAGCCAATGAGTAATTACAACTCATCATCTCTCAACAAAGGATCAGCTAGAAAATTTGCTGACTAAGAGCATTGGGAAGGCGCATCATGAAGTCTCGTTGAATTAACTAGGAGTTGAAAATATATTCAAAGCATCAGCTTAAGGGGTAGTGTTGAGAGCATAGCAAGCTATTGTGTATTAGTTAGTTAATTAGTTAATGAGTTGATTATTTATGCTAAAAGTAGGCTTAGTTAGTTAGAGGAGTTAGTTAGTTGAGATGTGTATATATATGAGGTACACCTCATTACTGTAGTATGCAGAAGAAATGAGAATCAGTTAGATTTCTCTCCAAGTTTTCCTCAGTTCTTCTTCTCTCGATTACTTCATCATTATTCACTCTCGTCTATTGATAAACTTGACAAAAATGAATTACAACGGGAGAGAAAGGGAATGTTTATTAGGCATTTTTACTGTAATCGTTCCCTAATATTATCATGCCCACCCATTATGCCTGGTAATTTATAACTGCTGGGGAGGTATTATAGAATCCTAAATACCTCGGAGTTTGTTGGTTTGAGGGAGATGTGTATCCGTACATTTGTGATCCTCCGGATGAGTCATTCCGGAACATCCTTGTCCGTTATAGGTAAATTATTTGAGGGATTGGCTTCCCAGTATTTAGTTTGTTATCTCGATGGCTCTAGTTGACTAAGAGCTGACAGAGAGAAGAATCCTAATATGCTTTTCACGTGTTGATTTCTTTTAGTGCCCATATATTAGGTGTTTTTTTACCAATATAGATAATCTTCTTACTTTTCGGGCAGTTCCCAGGGATTGGGACTATTCGGGAAGCCCATATAGATGCTCACTCCTACTTCCTCTAAAGCTTTCCCTGTGGGGAACATAATCAGTTCATACAAGAATCTATTGAGTCATCCACCCTACCTTGCATTTATTTGATTCATCATCACATGACCGTCATTGGTTAAAATTTCAAACTCACATCAGTGCATAGGGCCTATTGACGCGCTACAAATCCTAACAGAGGCCTAAGAGATGCTCATTAGCATCGGGACAGTGCCAATTGAAAAAGGAATCTTACAGAAATGTCCCAAAAAAATTCTAACTTACCAACTTCTAGCCATTAATCATAAACTTACCAAATTAACTAACCAAACATATATAAAAATTGAAAACCCAAATAAATAAGGTTCTTTATCTCCAAGAATCACACAAAAATCTCCTTCCATATTTTTATGCGTGATTAGTAACATTAGATGTAAGACGGAAAGAAAATATCATGGATGTCACACCTCCTTTTTCCTACCCCGGAAAGGGTATATAGGGGAGTTTTTCCATTTTAAGTGACAATCAAAACGGGATTATTATTTAAGATTAGAGTCGCCACATGGGATAGTTTATGGTGTCCCAAGTCACCGGCTTAGAATCCCGAATCGAGGAAATTTGACTCTGTTTAATGTCTGCGAACACAGAAATCCGGGTAAGGAATTCTGTTAACCCGGGAGAAGGTGTTAGGCACTCCCGAGTTCCGTGGTTCTAGCGCGGTCGCTTTGATCATACTTGGCTTATTAAAATTGTTTAATTACTGATTTTAGAACCTATGTGCATTAGCCGCTTTTAATTAGGGAATTATCTTGAAACAGATCACGTGTACGTGTACCCATTTATTTGGCGCGTCAAAATCATGTCACGCGAACGTGTCCACAATTAATAACGCTTTATTATTATTAAGAAAGTTTGGCCGAGGTTGTGCGAACGCATACTCCGGTTTTGTTTTTTTAGAAATCGTAATCATGTCACGCGAACGTGTCCACAATTACAATGATATATTAAACGGGCCTATAGAAACTACGAGCATTTGTCATTGTTATACCTAAGTTATGAAATTAATACGAGGGCCAGGTCTGATTAAATTGTGGATGACACACCTTGGACTATTAAATTAGTGGTCTATTAATAACAATTTTTACTATTAAGAAGGTTTGAGCGAAGTTGCGCGAACGCATACTCCGAATTGGTCTTTAGAATAGTAATTATGTCACGCGAACGTGTACACAATTACAATTGTATTTTAAACGCGCCTAAAGGCTTTTCTACGAATATTTGTTCTAATATCTAATCCTAGTATTTGTGAGGGCCATAGGTGATACAATTAAATTGGCACACCTCATTCCATTTTTAATAGGAGAATTGTGTTACACTTAGAACGAATTAATCTAACGCAAGATTCAGTTTAAGATTACCAATCGCAAATGTACATTGAGACAAATTAACAGGCCTTTGCTTACTTAAAGAGGGTCGAGTCCAACGACAGGCTCGCTGATGATTCGCGGAAAGCACATGGGGTTGGGCTCAAAGTTGAGCCCACCATTTAAACCAAAGAGCCAAATCTTGCAGCGGTGAAATTGGGCCAGGAACAAACCCAGCAAAACAACAAACTCTACCTTACGAACCATTTCTTTAGGGTACAAAATGCAAAAAAGGCAAGGGCCAAAGCTGAAGACTCCTGGGCCCGACAATGGGCCCGAGACCAAGGGAAACCGAATCTGATTCATTTCGGGCCTCATATTAGACAGGGGAACTCATCAAGACCAATTCTAAGCTGAAGGCCTTCTGATACCTTAACTGCTTTAGACACACACATGCAATACCAAACTGGAGGTCAACATACTGAACTTAATCATATTATCTACAGGCCATGAAATATTGCATGTTAAATTGAACATAATGACATATTAATTTAGGGGAGAAAACAAAGCTTCGGCTAAATTTTACTTGTTTAAAAAAAACAGAATGAACTAGCATGGTAAACACTTAGTCATAACTATAGGAAGCATCTTCAAAATCCAACAAATCCCAGGTCGAGCTAGCCAAGTTCACTTTCTCAATTTATATACTATCCTGAATAATAATACCAAACAACTTTAACAATACCCAACAGGAGATGTTCCTCATGTAACCGGAAAAAACCATACTACGACAACCCAGGAACTATATACTCAACAGGAGGAGTTTTAATCAAACCAAATCCAACATGACAAACTAGAATCCAAAATCCAGCCTTAAGATGAAATATAACACCATTGACATGAATGAATACAATAAACCATAGTAAAGCTAAGTTAGTACAGAAACATTCAAAAGGACATGAGCTAATATTCAGTAAAAAGAAACTAATATTTGTCCTTAAGTCTAAGAAACTAATATTTGTCCTTAAGTCTCCAGTTCGATTACATGGCTTCAAACTTGCACTTCACATATTAATAAGGTCCAAGAAGTACCTGGGGCAAAAATTAGAGCAAAAAGGGTGAGGAAATCAGCAATAGCAGAGGAGTGTAAATCAGCAAATCAACACAGCAAATTCAGCTCCCCTAGACCATCTTTGAACCCAGATGAA